ACACGAGGTTTCTGCAGATCCTCCACGGGATCAAGAATAAACCATCGCTCACACCCCACAAGGGCACACGAGGTTTCTGCAGATCCTCCACGGGATCAAGACACAAGAATTCAATCATGATGCTTCACATGCAAAACAACTCCCCACCAGGAACAACATCACAATTATTCTACCCCGGTGATTACTACACTAGGAACGACACCTTGTCATTCTACCCCAGTGAGTAAGAATCTCGCACGTTTACATATTTTCAACATCATTATCATATTACCAAGCAATGCACATATATCATACATATATTCTCATACATTCATGTTTAATTCGAACAATGCATTCAATTGCCAAAAGGCCATAATTCACAATCTAGGATTCACGCCATAAGGCTACCCACAACATGTCTCATCTCAATAATGCATAAACTATTCACGTTATATAAGGATTAACATCATTTAACCAAACAATTAACCATAGGATGGAAAACACAAGAAAACAACATGCTGACATGCTCGCTACCTTGCTCGCCTAGCGAGCTCCTAGCGAGTGCTCGCTACCTGTTCGCCTAGCGAACATGCTCGCGAAGGCAAACAGAAGTCACTGACTTGATTCGCTACCAAACTCGCTCAGCGAAGGCCTAGCGAACACTCGCCACCCCTTTCGCTACCAGCAAAGAACACCCAAAACCATTATGTCCAAGTCTGGGACCATTCGCTACTGGCTCGCCACATCGAATGCCCAGCGAATGCTCGCGACCTGCTCGCCTAGCAAACAAGCTAGCGAGGGTCTGCGAACTTAGAATTCTCTACTGTCTAAAACTCTGAAACTTATCGAAATCCAACCGATTCAATTCTAACTCGTCCTAGTAGCCTTAGCCCAACATTCCTCGACTAAACTCTACTACTTATCCTCATCTTAACGGTTAAAACTTGGTTTCTACCGATTAAACTCATTTATGCCCTAGAATGGAAAATTAAGGAAAAATAACCAAACAAATCCAAACAATCCATACATAATCACATACATTGGTAAGATGACAATATTTCACACCCTTACCTCGATTAATCGGAAGCTAGAAGTCGTTCTTGAGCTTTCCAAGCTTTCCCTTCTTTTTCCTTCTACTTTCTCTTCTTCCTCTATCTTCCTTTCATGTTTTCTATTTTACATTTTCCTCCCACTTTCCCTTATATATCTTTCCCTTCTATTTCTCTCCAATATATTTCTTCTCTCAAAATATTTACCAATTCATTTTCTCATAAAATATCCCGTCTCATCCTTAATTAGAGAATATCTAGTAAGTCCACATTATTCTACCAATTAGAATAAATCAGTTAAATCCAATAATTCACTTAAATTATACAAACCAATTAACTAGTACCATTAATCAGTTATTGAAAATTGGGCTGTTACAGCTTACGTGGCGTAGTGAAGACCAGCACATGGTCTTCGCCCTAGTTCAACCGTCTCTTGATCTCCGGAAGGTGGGTTGACCAACTCTCGCAGAGGTGGGTGGTTGGATGAGGACGTGTCCCAGCGGAGGGGAGCACGTGGAGAACATGTGGAGGACACGTTGTTCTGCTCGAAGGAGGAAAGGTTCTGCCCGCCGAGGGCAGCGTCTGGCCGACAGGGACCCTTGTGCTCGACATAGGTGATATGGGCCTGCTTGGGCCTTCCCAAGTATCATTGGGTTGGGCCTTCCCGATGTATTTTTCACATCATTGTAGCAGGTTTATTTTTCACATCGGATTATTGCCCGATGTAAAATGTCTTTGATATACTACATCGTTTGGCTTTACATTGGACTTAGATCCGATATAAATTGTGCTTTTCGCCCGATGTAAAAAGTCTTTCCTCCACTAGTGTTGATTCCTTCCTTCCGAAGAAATCCTTTTGCTACAAGTCTCGCATTGTGTCGAGTTACTTCTCCTTTAGGATTCACCTTCACCTTGTAAACCCACTTCACATCAATTGCCTTCTTGCCTTGAGTTTCCACAAACAACACCAATGTTTCGGTCGATCTCAAGTCCGTGCAACTACAGTTACAAGATATTGTTCGATTTGGATATGAGAACCCTCACAATTTTGTCTTTTAGAATTGAGGTGTATTAGTGTTGGAACCTACCCTTAATCTTGATTCCTAAGAAATGTAGAACTATTTTGACCAAACCGAAATAATTTTTTTAATATATTATGTATTTTATATTACTTCAAACCTATTATTTTATATTTCTTAAAACCTATTATTTTATAGAATTTTTATAATACAATTATTAATAAAAAATTATAAATTATAATTTAAATATTCATAAACTAATATAAATTAAAACTACGTAAAATTAGATAGAATCATATCAATTTATTTTATTTTATCAAAATTGAATGCAACTACAAATCATTTTATCTTTTAAATCAAATGAATTTTTCTTTTAAAGCTAACCCAAACTACACTCTAAACATCCTGTTAGATGTGTAATTAAAATGAGTAAAAGAATGAAAATTCTAAATTGAAGCAATCAAGTCTTTAGACTTTAGACGGGTGTAACAAGATTGATTTGAAGTTTAAAATGTCTAAATTCAAGTAATTAGTTTCTTTTACATAGTAGCGTACTAGCGGGGATAGCAAATAATTATTTGTGCAAAAGCATGACAATTAATTATTCTTATTGATGATATTTATTTTAAGTGATATTTTATTAGGGATGACAAAATGGATAAATTGAATGAATATGAATTGGATTGTTAATAGATGAATTAAAATAATTCATTACTCCATTAACCATCCACTAAAATTTTCTTAAAATTATCCAATTCAATCCATCTATTAAGAATAAAATTTATCCAATTCAATCCATCCATTAACATATTTTTAATGGATGAATATCCATTCATCCGACTTTTTTATATTTCGTAAAAATAAATATATATTTTTATTTTTAAAAAATTGATTTTATTTTATTTTTAAAAATTTTATTTTTTATATTTTAAAAAAAATTATTTTTTAATATATTTATTAAAAAAACTGAATTTTTTGTATTTTAAAAAAAATTGATATTGTAAATTTTTATAAAATAAAATGTTGCTTGTATTTTTTTTATTAATTTTAAATAGAAAATTAATAAAAAAATGCAAGCAACATTTTAAAATTCAGGCAAACCATACTGTACACACCATCAATCCAAAGCAAACCGCTCAGATATTCTAGCTATCATAAATCCTTAAATAAGATATTATTTATAAAAAAAAGATTCTAAAAACTAAAAACAAAAATTTTAAAAACTTTTTATTTATTTCAATAATAGGTAGACCAATTGATGTTAAATTAATAAAAAATATTATATTTCAATTTTCTATAATTACAATTAAAAAAATGTTAAAACTATTCGATATCATAACAGACTCTTAAATTGGATTAATTGATTCAATAGTAAAAAATTATTTATAACAAAAATAAAAAAAATTATCAAAATAAAAAAAAATGGAAGACGGAAAACACAAGAAATAGAATGTTTATAAGATGGAACAGTTAATTCCCACCCTAACAAGCTATTCTTAGCCAGTTGTCAGCTAAGTAATAAAAAACTCATCTTTATTTATCAAGCTTTCTTATTTTAATTTAATAATAATTTAAAAATAATAAAAATAAAAGCTTAATTTAAAATTTAAATTTAAAATGAAAAGAAAACACACAATAACCATGATTATCGAATAATATAACAAACAAATAGGAATAAAAATAACAAACAAATAGGAAGAAAAATAACAAACAAATAGGAAAATTTCTGCAACAACCGCAAAATCAAAGAGAGAGTGAAAATAATCAACAGAGACGAAAAGATCGTCTTCTCAATCGGAATAAGGTCACTCAATTTTCTTCTTCTCTTTTGCTTTGCGTTTTCATCTACTATTTCACTTTCTCTGTTTAATTTATTCATTATTATTATTGTTAATCATTTTAATTAATTTTTTTGTTAATGAGCTTTTGATTTTCAAGTTCAGCGTTGTAATTTGTTGCTCTTTATTTTTCTCTGTTTTTCATCTCTCAGAAAAATGGTGGAAACTGATTATTAATTCTCTTTTCAGGTTTTGTTATTACCTGTTTTTTTTAGTATTTATGAGTTTTATTTTTTTTTTCTTGTAGAATTTTTTTCTGAGAAAAAGTTATGAAAATAACACAAAAGAAAGAACCTTTAAACTTAGGTAAATAACTAGGGTAAAGAACAGTGGATCGGATTCAGCATTGAAATTAGATGAAATTTGTTTAATCACATTTGTTCTTATGATCAATAGTAATTTTTAATCACTGATTGGTTTTTATGTTACGTTTTTATTTTCAATTCTGCTGTTTTTATTCTTTTTAATTCTTCGCTTATTTTGAATTTTTTTTTTTTTTTGCATAATCAAAAATTTCCAGTTTATTTTCTGGTCTTACAAGTCAAGATCTAAATCTATTCACAGTAAGATTTTTGAAATGATGTTTTTTCGAATTGCGGTTACCTGTTACTTGATTTCGAGTTAGTTTATGTGTTTATTGTGTTTATTGATTGCTATGATCATCAAATCAATAGCTTCTAAATGTTCAAATTGATTGCGATGATTATTAAATCTATTCGGAGTAAGAGTTTTGGACTATTTTTATTTTTGTATTACCGTTACCTGTTATTTGGTTTCTTGTTAGTTTATGTGTCTATTGTGTTTGTTGATTGCTACGATCATTAACTCTATTTGAAGTAAGAGTTCTGGAAAAATGATTTTCGAATTATGTTACCTGTTATTTGGCTTCTAGTTAGTTTATGTGTCTGTTGTGTTTATTGATTGCTGTGATCATCAAATCAGTTACTTCTAAATGTTGATAGTGATTATTAGATGTTAGATTTTGAACCTTTTACCTTTTTTATTCCTGACAACTGTCATTGTAAAAATCAGATATTTTGTTCTGCTTCTTGTTTAGATTTTGTTTTGAATAGATGCTGACTGGGTTGAAAATTTGCAGAAATATATTGGCGATCATGAGATTCAAGAAAGGGACTAAGGTGGAAGTTCTAAGCAAAGCTGAGGTGCCTTCTGGCTCCTGGTTATGTGCAGAGATCATCCGTGGTAAGGACCACCATTACACTGTTAAGTATGAGGGATTTCAAGGTGATACTGGTGAGGCAATCGTGGGGCGAGTTTCAAGGAAATCCATAAGACCATGTCCGCCTGCACTTGAACTCGTGGCGAACTGGACTCCAGGTGAAATTGTAGAAGTGTATCAGAATTTTTCTTGGAAGATGGCTACTGTTTTGAAGGTTTTGGGAAAAAAGTGCATTTCTGTTAGGTTAGTTGGATCTTCTTTGGAATTCCAAGTTAGCAAATTTGACATCAGGGTGAGACAGTCCTGGCAAGATGACAAGTGGTTTGTGGTTGGAAAGGTACCTTTATTTTCCAGCTATAATCTTTTTGTTTCTTTCATATTCTCTAGCGATTGCCAAGTGTCCTTCCATGTACAAATGTGGTTGTAGATCATATGCTGACTTTGTTTTTGTTAAGCTTTTGAAATTTTATTGATTCAATGCATTCTGTTTACTAAAACTAACTAATAGAAATTTAAAAACTTTGGATTTTCTTAGGTTTTTCAGTCATGTTTCGCTTTCAATATTGCGTGATTCTTACTTTCAAATTTTCTTCATTTCTCCTTTTTTGTTTTTGCTTTAACTTTCAAGAGTTTTCCTATGTAAATGTTTCTGGATCATACCATGCTATTTTATGAGCTAATATTTATTCATCTTTCTCCCATCTTCAGGGCTCTGCTACCTGTGATAATGGAAAGCGTTTTAGTGCGCAACTTCTGAAGATAGACACGAAGACAAAACTGTCAGCTTCTGATTACTATCAACCTGAAAAGGAAGAACTGAATAATCTGGAAACCCGCCCTGTTTCTTTTAAAACATTGAAACGAGGACGCCATTCACAAGTTGAGGCATATGCTGAACCTCTGCCTAAATTAAGAGCAATTGAGAATGAAGGCAGATGTTACAGAGCAAGAGTTAGAAACCCATCCACCCCACTTAATCATGTACATAATATCAGTTTTCCAAGAGACGTGCCAGCTGAAGAATGTATACATGCTGTAAACAACAGGAGAACTGGGATTGTTGATATGGACATAGAGAGGAGGAAACAAAATGCTGCTGTGGGTTGTTCATTTGGACAGAACTTTGAATTAAACTGTGCTGATAGTGTTATATGCTCTGTTGGTAGCTGTAGTATCACTAGCGGGAATTCCTATAAATTGCAATTTCCTGTATCTGCAGGTCCATTTGAAGATGTAGACAGTCCATACAGCGATGCTGAATCTACCTGCAAGAGGGGATATCTTGAAAAGACTTATTCCCCTCCCACACGAAGAGAATTGGCCACAAAAATTCATAGGTTAGAGTTGCATGCCTATCGTTGTACAATTGAGGCATTGTATGCATCAGGACCTTTAAGTTGGGAACAAGAAGCATTAATGACAAACCTCCGTCTTTCACTCAACATATCAAACGATGAACATTTATTGGAGCTAAGAAACTTGATTTCTTCTGAAAATATTATTCCTTTCAGATGACATAATTTTTTCTTTCTTCAACTTAATATACCTTTCCTCAGGGATAGAATTCCATATTAGTTTTTTTGCTAGCTTCATTCAACTGTAAGAAGAAAAATGAAATATTTCTCTCCTTCATTTATGTTTTATGATTTAGTAATGTAGATGTTAAACTCCATGAATAAATGATCATTTCTGATCTTTTTTTAATCTGTTCATTTATCCTCTTAATTCCGGTTGGATTTGTTATGGTAGACACACCTCACTAGGTTATTTCTGGAACCTTTTTAAGATTATAGATTTTGTTGAGATGTGGCAGACATGATCTGGCTACTGATATTTGAAATTAAGTGGTATATTTAATTGTTAGTTTATCATTGAGGGTCAATGATTAATATGCTTTATTTATGGGACTTGTGTGTGTGTGTCTAAGTTCTATATTTCATGCTACCTTAAGTTTAAAGAATGTTTTGCATTCATTTCAGAGCTATAATTAGAAAGAAGCTTTTGCTTGCTTTCTAAATTTGTTAAGTACAAGAAGCTTACCTTGTGTAATACTTGTCTGTTACTCAATGTTTTGAAAGTATAAAAAGATACTAGTAATGCTTCTCCTGCATTTTCCAGGGACGAGTTTGAGGCACATAGATGTTGCTTCGAGATGTCTACATATGATATCGGTGCTTGCCACCTTTCTCTTTATCTAGACAAGGGATGGCATGTACATTATGGCGCTCTTGATTTGCCAACAATTCCATAGGATTGTGGAATTCTCACATTCTTCCATTTCAGGCCTCTTGAGAGCCTCAGTTTCCTTTTCTGTGGAAGGATGCAAGCTCAGAATCTTGTGGCTATCATGGGGTGACCTTTTATGTGATTATATAATTTGTGTTACCAATTGTTGATGCATGTCTTACTATCATTGTGTTCCTAATTAAATAATCTCTGATATTTCCTATGCATACACTCACACTGAATGTTTACACGCTGAAGCCTAGCAAATGGTTAAAATATTATTAGTGGAAACTTTGGAATGGTAATTTTATTGCAACTAGGGTAGAAGAACCTTGCAATGAGTAGTATTTATATGTTGCTGAACAAATGATGTCACAAAAAACAAATAGAGTAACATAATTACAGTTGACGCATAAGAAGTAACACTTTTTTTGAAATTATTAGCAACTTAATGTCATTCTTAAAACTTGTGAAACTCGATTATCCTTTCTGCCATGTTTCACTGAACAATGCTGTTCCAGATTATTTGCATTTTTTACTTTACAAGTAATGTAAGCATGTGTTTTCCCTCTGTGGTTGTAAGCTTACACATGAAAGTTGGCACTGGTTTGCTGCTAGTGCACTACTGCTCAGCAATGATCAGCTAGCAATGGCCATATTCAAGCCAGAACGATGCAAGGTATGGTTATCCACTGTAATTCTCTCACAAAACCATGTTCCATTGTATGATTCGTTTCCAGTTACTAATAATCTAGGAATCTTCCTTCTGAAAGTCTGAGACTATCTGGAGGGAAGAACGCCAATCATAAAAATAACAGGCTATTCCAAGTGTAGCAACTATAATGCAGACATGTTAACTTTTTATTTTAGATTTATAATCACACTTTCTTAAGTTTAAATCCAATTATTATTATTATTATTATTATTATTATTATTATTATTATTATTATTATTATTATTATTATTATTATTATTATTATTATTATTATATTATCTAATTTTTACTTTCATAATTACCTTTTATCTTGTTTACTATTTAATTGTTTTCGATATATATATATATATATATATATATATATATATATATATATATATATATATATATATATATATATATATATATATATATATATATATATATATAATATATATATATATATAATATTAAGACTATTTCTTAATGCACTCTATATGTTATGTACCACGTAAATTTTTTAAAATGCTCCGGTTTTTAGAGATGTATCTCCGGACGCACCCCAACACACACTCTGCAAATGTCATTTTGAGTTACGCCTTTTTTTTTGTTTACTTTATTCTGGAGATGCATCTCCAGAATATTTCCATAGTTACATTTCTGCAACAGACACATCAGTAGAAAAGTCAAAATCAAGTAATTTTCCAAAATGAAATTAACATTCATAATATAAAATAAGTATTACATAGATGATTTCAATATAAATGCAACGTTACACTTCAATATCCAGGTGAACACGTCAACATCTTCGCAATATCTTCGATTGATCTTGAAATCGTCGCTTCCAACTCAAGCGGAACTTTTGTTTAGAAACGCAAATACGTATTTCACATAACCCTTACATTTGCTTGCTTCTTGAACTCAAATTTACTAAACTTAATCTTCCCTTCATTGTCAACCTACGGTAAAAGGTACTCAAGCTCCACAATCTTTCGACTGTCTCCGTAAGGTAGGAGATGGTGGATTTTATGTTTGATATCTTCGAGGGAGGTGAAATTGGCGAGCTTAAATGTTTGCCCTGATGTAGAGTTGGAGAAAGAGACATTTGCGACATACCAATTGATGTTTATTTGTGACATTTGACACATTTTCGATTTGTGGGAAATATAACATATGAGCACCTTAATTTATATAAGCCATAGATTAATATGGACCACCCAATAATTGACATGCTGATTCTGGAGATATATCTCTGGAACCGTACAATATTATATTGTTTCGGAGATGCATCTCCGGAGCTTCTCTTAAACAAGTTTCAAAACAAAACCCTAAAACATAACCTATTTTTTCATTTACAAAAGAACAAATGTCGATATGGGAAAGATAAAAAATGCATTAAGACACAATGGATGCATTTGTTTTGCAAAATAAAAAGTATTGGACAAAACAATATTAACAATACAGAATAATACAAGATAATTTTTTGTTTTGTACTCTGTTTGATGGTCGATGCACTAGACACATTTATGTCTACTTTATTTGATATATCTATGCAGCAAATAAAATAATTTTTACTATAATATTTTTATTGATATATAAAATATTGATATTTATGAGTCAAAATATTAAATAATGAGAAAGAGAAAAAAAATGATGAAGAGAGAAAAAATTTTCTTTAGTTTATTTGGTAAATCTATGCATCAGACAAAAATAATATTATTTTATTATAACATCTTTTATTACTAAATAAAATATTAATACCATATTTATAAATTAAAATATTAAATAGAGAGATATATATATTAAAATTTGTACTTTGATATTTTTTTGATAATTTGTGTTTTGGATAAAAAGCTATCCCATGGTTTAGTGAGGGGCAAGAATTCATGTTTTTTCCCCCGTCTCTTGCCATATATTTTGTCATGTCCCATGATAAGTTTGTGCAATAAACAAGGTACAAAAAAAGTTGTCTTGTCTAGTCCCTCTTTTTTTAACAAATCAAACGCACCTAATATGAACAAAAGGTGAATATATTACACTTCATTTATATTAAGACACAATTACATACACTTATTTGTCCGGTTAAATAAGAAATTAAAACGAATCGAAATATATGTTGCCGGCTAAATCTATAGGTGGTACCCTCTTAGACTTTTGTGCATTTGATTCTTTTTCAATAATGTTCAATTTCTCGAATTCTTGCATCCTTTCTATAAAATGATCTGACCAAGTCTCGACTTTTATGGTTGAATGAGCCGTCCACTCCAGTAATGTAAGTGGTAACAAAATGACTTAATTTTGAAAGCCACCCAATACACATGGTACGATCATTTGGATTTTGAGGTGGAACAATGCATAGTGGGAAAAATATTTTTGAAAAACAGTATCGTGTCAGGTCAACACACACTCTATCATACGCACATGCTATTAGGTGATCCATTTCAGGGAAGCGCATGCTTTTTGCCTCCGGTGCCAAACCACTAAGGTAATGAATAAGAGACTCATAAACTTCATCGAATTTTTCCTTTTTTTCGTACAACCGTGTGTATGATTCTTTATGCGTCTTCAACTCTTGGATAAGTTGATGGAAGACAAGTGTATGGTTATCTTCTCCTTTACCGAGTAAAGTCGAAACTGCTCGATAACCACAATTACCGTCCCTCATAACATTGACGATCCACTCTATGTATTAGTGCATAAAAACCAACATCTCGTTGATGAATGAAATCTTTGGTGGAGGCGGCATAAAAAGTGGTTTGCTAATGTGAGCTCCTTAACAACACTTTTTTTTGTTGAGATTTTGGAGTTGGTGAGTTAGGAAAAACTTTGTCAACATGTTCAAAATATGAATGAGGTTGGGTAGTCGAATTGTCATTCGATGTAGGCTTCATTTTCTTCGAAGTAACTTTTGTTTTTACTAGTTGAGAGGGCTGTTTCATGTTGGTGGTTTTCGGATAGGAAATCTTCCTCAAGTGTTCTTTGATGTGGAGTTTCATGTTGTCACCGGCTTTTAAAAATCTCTCTTGTATCACTTCCTATTCGGTCAAAATAGAGATATTTGGTTTACTGTCATTCATGACACCACCATCATCAAATCTAAGTCTATTTCAATGAGTGCAAACCTCGTCCAGTCTTACTGGGTCACAAAGTTTCACCTTTTTAGCAATAACATAAGCACATGGGAGACCATATATTTTCACAATTGCGCATCCACACTTTGCGCTATTAGAGCCTACATTATCAGCTCATTTCTCCTTGTGAAAAATATAATTCAAACCGCCGAGAAATGTTACCGACCAATTAAGAATATAGAGTGTTATCTTTAAATCTGTGTTCCAAAAATTTGATGCTCCGACCAAATGATGTTTGTATCTCATTATGATGGTTTTAAATCATGTGGTTCACAGAGTCTCAATCTCTAAACAAATCGTCCTTACTATTTCCCAACCAAATTTTCAAAGTAGCTTGGGTAGACTCAACTCTGTTACTTGTTGTATTTCCGAGGTATCTAATATTATCAGTCCATGCACAAACGGTTTTCTCCTTCACCTGGTCAAGAATTGTGTTTTCAACATATTTCAACAAATCTGTATAC